CACTGTAAGGTGAGCCCTCCAATCCGATGAGGCTGTGGACCCCACTCCAAGGCCACTTCTTTTACCTACTTTTCTCCTTTTGCATGATCCTATGAATATTCCTCTGAATATAACACTCTTTTCCAAGTCCTTACTGCATGATTATTTTACCTTTCTAATGTAAATAACTCAATTGGCGATAAAATCTTTTTCTCCCCTCTTACACTGTATAAAATTCTGCATGCTATCTTATCTTACTTTTAAATACATAATACCCAAGCACTATAATCTAATCCATGGATTATGGATTACTTATGGATTATCCAGTTATTTACACTTACTTTGTACTTCTCTGCCTTAAAGCATAACTTAACTTGTGGAAGGAACAACATTTTTTTAAACATTAATTAGGCTTTAAAAGAGTTTGATTTTCTTTTAACTTCCGAAAAAGTAAGTTACAGGTTTCACAGTTTGTTAAGGAAATATAAGATGTCTTAGGTCTAAATTGTATTTATAGGATTTAAGGACATAAAGTGTTTCTTTTACCATAGCTTCTTAAAACACGATTCATTGAATTCGAAATAGAAATAAGCATTGAAGAAATGCTCTTTTTTTCCTAAAATCGCGTTTTACGATCTTATCTGTCTTGAGAAAACGTAGAGTTCAATCCCCTGCTTCAATTCGATATCATCCTCATTACTCATACGCCCTGTATATACTCGTACACTGCATGATTCCGCATGTCCGAACTCAGGGGAGAACTGAGTAAGTTTTTCCAATTGCTTGACCTGTGCGTGCTAAGCAAAATCACTCGACACCGCCACCGAAGCAATCGCAGGCACCTCTCCCAAAACGACACCGCAAGGAAGCCGTTCTGCATGAGGCGACCCTCGCTTGGTATCCACACCCTATATACCCTAATGTCCTTGTGTACAGATCCCATTCCGACTGCTTCCAGATCATCATCTCGTGCGCCAACGAGCCGGCGAATCCGACGGTTTCGCACGAGTACCATGTCCTCTGCAAGATGATCGACGTGGAGGAGAACTTCATCGAGGTGACCGCCCTGGGCGAGGATCTGGCCATGAACGTGATCAAGATGTGGATGAAGACGGCATGCCGGGACCTCAACAATTACCAGTGGCGTCTGGTGGCCAATGCCATTAGCAAGTGCTCGCTGCCGATTTTCGTGAAGCTCGTCTTTGCGGAGATTTGCCGCTGGCGGAGTTACACTCGTCCCCAGGAGACACATCTGGCCAACACGGTGATGGACTCCATTATGCTGCTCTTCGAGCGCGTGGAGAAACAACACGGTCGCATCTTGGTCTTCCATGCGTTGGCCTACATAACAGCCTCCAAGTCGGGTTTATCCGAAAGCGAACTGGAGGATCTGATCTCGCTGGACGACAAGGTGCTGGATGATGTCTACCAATACCATTTGCCGCCGACGCGGCGTATTCCTCCGCTTCTCTGGACCCGTATCCGAAACGATCTGCCCAATTACCTGAGCGAACGGGAGGCGGACGGGGTCAACGTGATGAACTGGTATCACCGGCAGTTCCGGGATACCGCCAAGGAGCGCTACTTCAAGAACATGAACATGGCCATTTATTTTCACTCCATGATTGCAGATTATTACCTCGGTATTTGGGGAGGCGGTGTGCCCAAGCCGTTCAAGTTCACCGAGATTCAGCGGCACAGGTTCGGATTGGCAGACAAGGAGGGCTCCGCGGATCGTAAAGTTCCCATTCAGCCATTGGTTTTCAGCAGCAAGGACGGACTCTCCAAGCGCTACAATCTGCGCAAGGTTAGCTTTGAATTTTTAATTCAATTATGTAATGATAATTCCTAATCCTTTGCAGTTTGGTGAGCTGCCCTTTCACTTTGTGCGCTCTCGCCGTTTCAAGGATCTCTTCGAGCATGTCCTTTTCAACTACGACTGGCTGCACGCCAAGCTCTCCAGCTGTCCGTTGCAGGCGGTTCTAGCGGATTTCGAGGATGCCTCCAGCAACACCGACGACAAGGAGGCCAAGCGAGAACTGATGCTGGTGTCGGATGCCCTGCGTCTGGGCGGTGCCATCCTGGCCATCTACCCCAATATGCTGGCACCCCAGCTTGTAGGGCGACTTCTGCCCGAGATTGGAGGAAATCCCAACATCAAAATGCTGTTGAGGGCCTGCGATCGCAGTGGACCCAAGGATTGCGCCCTCATTCCGGTTAATCATTGCCTGCACACGCCAGGAGGTCCTTTGAAGGTAAATTGTCTACTTAAATGTTGAATTACAAACCTAACCAATAATCTATTAATCTGTAGTATTCCCTGGAGGGCCACCAATTCGCGGTGTTTGCCTTTTGCTTGACTAGCGATATGCGTTACATGGTCTCCATATCCACGCACTTTATCACCTTTGACCTCTCCACTTCTGATCTGACTCGGGATGTTAATCCCGGCATTGAGGGCATTATGCAACAATTGGTATTAAGTCCGGACAACAAGTGGGCCGCAGCCTACTCCAACAACAACCAGACGGTGCTGCTCAACATGCTCTCCAGCGAGTTTGTGGTGATCAACAGCCCCTTCGAGGAGTCCCACGGGCCAGTCAGCGGTCTCTATCTGCTCAATCAAAAGTAAGTATTTCATTCGATACAAATATTTGCTCACAGGATTCGCTTTTAGTTTGTTCATCACCTGTAAGCTTCGTTGGGCTCAGTTCGACATGCGCGGCAATCTGGTGGATACCTTTGAAGTACCTGGCGAAAATACCGATTGGGAAATCTTGAGTAAGTACATAAAAATCGAGAAGTCATTAATAAAATATAATATAAAAACTTATGGGGAAATATAAAATGCTTTTCTCCAATGCTTAAAAAAATATAAACATATAAATAAATAAGTTTTTAAGAGATCATATCTGAAATACATAACATTATATGGTAATTTTCCGCATATATTTTTAGCCATGGAGTTCTTTAACCCTGCGGATTACAACGTGGTCTTCTGGTCGGGCTCCATAAACGACATGCGCCTGCGGCTCGACTCATGTCGCGGTGGCAACTACTCCAACTCCCAGCGGCTCTATAGTGCCATGGTGATGAACAAGGAAAGGACCAGGGCTTATGGCTGTGCAAACGAGGAAAACTTCCAGGTCTCGGTGTTCGACTTTATCGAGGATGAGGCTACCGGAGAGATCTGCTGGACATTGGTGGAGAGTCTGCCGCGCTATGAGAACGACGACAAGGAGATGCTGCTGCAATTGCGAATCGATCAGCATGATCGCATGCTTTTGGGTACTGCGGGCAAGGGATTTGTGATCTGGGACTTCGGCGGCAAGGAGTTGGATTCAGCGGAGGAGTCCCGCTTAAGGGAGGGTGCACTGTACCTGCCTCTGCCTCACGGAGTGCGCAATATCACCACCCGAATCATGCAGTCAAACTCGATCATGGTTAGCTCCAAATTGGATTATGCCGTTGCCGGAGTTCGTAAAAATCTCTACGTTTGGTGTCTGAATACCGGACAACTGGCCAAGGTGCTGGATGCCCACTTTGGACGCATCATCCAGCTGGAGCCGCTGACCATCGGCAACTGGAACAACCTGGTCACCTCGTCCATCGATCGATCCGTCAAGGTGTGGAACATCAACAACATCTTTGAGAAGGTTCACGTGATCGATCGCCACGAGTTGCAAATCGACGACATCAGTCTGTCCGAAGTGGATATGGCGGTTACTGTCACCCGGAGTTGTGTGGGTGTTTGGGAAACAAGATCCGGTCGCCTGCTGGCCAAACTGGCCGACAGCCCCTTGGGTGCCATTGTCACCCATGCCGAGATCACGCCGGATGGCCGCTACATAATTTCCTCGGAAACTGGAAAATTTCTGGTCTGGAATCGAGTCTCCGAGCAGGTTGTTTTCCGGGATGATCAGCCCGGAATCCAGCAGATCACCCTCATGGACTACGGCTACAAGGTGCTGACCGTCTCCGTGCCGAACATTAATCAGCGGGACATCCTAGCAGCTGCTGGCGGATCAGATGAAGCCAATCGGTTAACGGCTATAACAACAATGCGATCAGTTCCAGGTTAGTAACTTCAAGTAACATAAAACATACCTCCTTAAATACTCCATTGCAGAGGGAGCCATCCTGTTCCGATTTGACTTTCCCATACGGATGATAACTGGCATGCCCTTCCGGCAATCGGTTATCACGGCGGACAATGCTTACATCGTGGTGGTTACTGTGGATAAGTCCAACAAGGATTGCCTTGGAGTCTATAGCGCTACAAATGGAGCTTTTGTCTCGAAAATATTACTCAAGGGTTGCTCCATTAAAGAGGTCATCTCCCTGGTCCCGATGCCGCACAAGGCCAACCAGGTGGCGGTGATCAGCAGCGAGAAGGGCAGCGTGATGGACATTAAGACAAAGAAGCACGTCCGTTCGATTGCCAAGTGGGGTGGCAGCATCACGCGGGATGGCAAGTGTGGGTTGTATGCTCCCACCCGCGGAGGACTGGAGATGTTGGAACTACGCAAGGGCACCACGGTCAAGACCTTCATACCCAAGGTGGCCGAGGGTGTCTTCTCAGTCATATGCATATTCACGGAGAACGACGAGTACGTGGCCTACTACCACAGCGGCCGGAAAACCATCCGCGTGTTCCGCACCGTGGACACCGAGATGATTGCCAACTACCGTCTGCAGGCGGAGCTCACGGCGATCAAGAGCAGCAAGGATGGGCGTGCCATCGTTTTGGGCACCGTCGACGGGTGCATGTCGGTGCTGGCCATTGTGGATCCGAAGAAGGAGGAAATGAACGAGTACCTCAACGATCTGCCCTCCCGCGATGAGAATTGGAAGGCCAAGCTGGCCAAGATGAAGGCTCGCGTTGGATTCAAGGCTGCCATTCGCGTGGCTACCATATCGTCGCGCTACGCCAAAACGAGCAAAGGCGGAGAGGACGGCGAGGAGGAGCTGCTCACTGAGATCACCGAGGACGTTGTGGTGCCAGTGGCGGACTAGGTCGGTTAGTTGATTTATAAATATAACATTTATTTTCGCATATAGTTCATGAGGATGTTACAAAAATACGCTGCGTGTCTACCGTGTGTTATCCTGCGTGTAATGCGTGCTTTCGGCATCGAAATCAGTGTGTGTATGTGTGTGGTTGTTTGTGTGCGGGTAAAACTGAATGGGTCTTAAACTAAACAATGGTTAAGGGGTAACTGCTAATTGGTAAAAACTATGGTTAGCTAATACGAGTATAAATTAGAGTTTTAGCGCGCACCGCGTGAGCCCAACGCTTGGCTTGAAACAATTTGAGGCGTGTTGAGAGTGTAGAAAACATAACCAGACGTAATAACAAGAATCGATCCTAGTGGGCGCGCAATGCAAAACAATGACCTTTTAAGTGTACTCAAACCTTTAACATGCTACTGCTTTTACTGATAATTTAAACAAAATAGCGTAGGCGAAAACTAACAAGCTGTCTAATGGAACCCGGTCTCAGTCACAGTCGCCACTTTTATCTCAACTTAGCCAATCGAATCTTATTGAATCGCATACGGAACACAACTCAGTGCTAATACATAGACCGATCAATTGTTATTAGTACAAGTACAATACATAGTTGGAGGAGACGTAGTTATAGTGTAATCTGTTAATTATTGTTACTGTTGTTAACCTGCTTTCGACACTCGCTGCTGCTCCTGTTGCTACACATTATTACCGTGAATATATATATGTGCCGATTTGTAAGCATACAACTATGTTAAATAATAAATGATTCATGTAGTTTACGAGGACTGGCTCGTTCAGTGTTTGTTTCAGTGTCTTTGTTTTATATAATTTCTAGCTGCCGCTGTTTATAGCTTAAGATTGTCAGCTACAGGAAGCGCACAGCTTATTGGGCATGATTCTCCTTCTTAATCTGGGCCAGCTTTGCCTGGAGATGCTGCAAGCGATTAGGTGACATGTCTCGCTTCTGAAATAAGAACACTATTTAATTTCTATTAACAGGCATTACTTTGTTACATCTTACATCTCGCTTTATGATCGAGGCCTTCTGTGAGTTCATCCCGTTCAGGCAGAGATTCTCGTCAACAACCTTGTTGTCCAGCATGTGGGAACCATCATCTGCTGATCGGGCGGAGGCCAGTTTACCGGCCACGCCTCCGCCAGACAGGTGATACTGCAGTCGGTCCATCCAGAAGTCAGCGTCGTGCCCGGTGTTCTGGTAGTTGACATCTGTGAGATAAGAACGAGTAGCAGCTGCAGTTCAAACACGAATATAAATGCATGTCCGCGTGGTTAGTAGATGAAATCGAGTGTTAAACTTTTTGTGCTCTGTCCTTACCCGTGCGATTATCCGGCGCCTGTGTAGAGCCGGCATTCTGGTTGCGTTCAATCTCGGCCAGACCCTCCTCAATGTACTTGTGGAACGTGGCACTGGAGCCTTGAAGGAAGGTACTCAGGTCGATATCAGGATTTTGTTGCTGCAATACAATGAATGAATATAATTGAGGTTAAACAGTTGCTTCACAAAACACAAACCTTGAAATCGTAAAGCTTCTGCAGACCTTGCTGCTTGGTATCTCTATCCGAGATCAGCTTAAAGATTTGCGATACTGTGTCATGTGTTTGATGGGAAATACGCTTTGAGGCGATTTCCTTGGCTCTCTGCGGCGATGCTCCAACGCCTGTAGCAGTGCCCTCCTTTTGGAAATTCTGCAAAAGATTATCGCTTGTCATTAATCTGTTACTACATGGTTTATAACAACTAACCTTGAGGATGCGTATCAAATACGTGTGAAGTTCTGAGTGTGTTGGAATCTGGTTGAGATGCTGCAGAATGGCATTGCCTTTATGCTTGGCCATGTTATGCAGAATTGTCTTGACCGTGCGCATTGGAGTGTCCGATGGTCGGTTTTGCCACCAAGTGCTTGGCAAGGCCAGCATAAACTCATGCACCTCAAGAATAACCGCATCGTAGTTCAGCTCGTTGCTACGCTCTGCCATCATCTTTACGTTGCGCCAGATGCACTTCATCAGCAGATCTGTAAACTTGGGCAGCTTGGCCTCCGGACAAGTCTCGCGCAGCAGACGTATCAAAGCACTAAGAAGGATTTGTGGCAATTAGGAGGTGTGATTGTGTAGTTTACATTAATTAACATACCAATTTAAATTCGTAAAATCGACCTTATCCAACACCTTGAGACATATGCCATTTATAACCTTGTTATACTGACTATCATCACCCACGGCCAATTTCGGATCGGCCATTAAGTTCAGCAGAGACGACATGAGATTTTTGATGCAGGCCACGCTCAGCGTTTTGCCCAGAATGTTGGCATGGAAAAATGTATAAAGAATAGATAATAACGGCTGGTAAACAACCACGGACTGAGCCGATGGCATCTGTGAGAGATTCTGGAATACAAAACAGATTATATGTAAACCTTGCAAAGAAAATCAGTCCAGGAAATTACCTTAAATTGTGCCAGCACATTTTGGATAAAGATTTCCTCGTAGTCACGCAGCACAGCCTGCTTCTCAGGAGAATCGATAATGGCGGCCAGCTCGTTGATGGAGGCACGAGCCTTAAGCGTGTCCGTGCTGCTCACACCCTTAATCACCTTGACCAGCTGCGGGTCGTGCTTGGGAAGAACATCCGCCAAACTAAATTTAATCAAGTGAAAGTTAATAATCGTTCAGATGGAGCTAGATGCAATACCCACTTTGGTATATTGTTCTCCAGTTGCTGCGGTGGCAGCTGGTGCTGCATACGCAGGGGGCTACGATAGGGCGAGATGCCGCTGGTCATGCCACCGGTGGACGACGGTGATGTGGTCAGATTCTGCTGCATATAGTGCTGGCGCGAAATCAGGCGATCGAACTTTTCCTGCGGATAGTGAACGCCCGCACGCGTGGGCCTCACCTTAATGGGTTCGTCCAACGAAGAGATGTCCACATTCAGGAGCGGCTTCTGTTCCATTTGGTCCACCCGGACCCAGTCTTTTTCGATCTCGCTTATTACCTGCAAGTCCAGACCAAATGGACCACTGGGCTTCTGTTGCTGGGCCTGCTGCTGCAGCTGAGCCAATTGCTGCTGGAGAAGGAGCAGCTGCGACGAAGGCGCCTGATCGAAGGTTCTACAGTGTCGAAAAATAAACAAAGTATTAGCGGAACTCGGAAAACGGAATCTGGCTTGGTACACAAAAAGCAAAGACAAAACGAGAAAAAAACAAAGGCAAAGCCAACTTTTCAACAAACACACGTCAGCAAGCAATAGCAAAACAATTGAACAAAAACAACACAAAGTATAAAGAAAGCCACTTTACGCCTGTCGAGTCAGGGAGTTCAAGTAGGCAACCACATTCGTGGCACTCCGCTCCGTCAGGTTGCTCTGCCCACGCGCATTTAACTCCCGCTGCAAACTAAGTCAATAAAATAAAAATATAAACGAAAATCAACAGAAACCAACCGAAATCAACAAAAATAATAAGGTTTAGCTACAGGAATAACCGAGGGAGGAAACCACTATAGCCACCTCTGTAATGATCCTAAGAAACATCCATCTGGATGGATCCATTTTTTCAATTTTATTAATTTTGTACAAATTATTTTGTGATAACTTTCCAGACGACAATCATATAATTGATGTATTCAAAAATACAAAAAATATAATCCTTCCCTTTCCTAGGGAGCCAAAATCAAAAAATTCTGATGCTTCTGGATATCTTCTATTACACACGTCTCCAAAATATAAGTCAAAATACACACTCGTATAATAAATGCTTCTCGTTTACAATCGGAATTTTGGAATATTCGAAGGTTTTGCTGGGGATGAGAGAATGGTTCGTGCCTTGTTCACAACGTTTGCAGCAGTTTCCAACCCTCGGTATATTGTACTCAGCAAACTGAGTAGATAAATCGGCTGTATCTAGGGTCTAGGGATATTGGTTTTAAAGTAAACCCCCGCCTCGCCCCCACACACTTACCCTTCCTCATCCGGTGGCGGTAGTTCGTCGCAGCCGTTGCCCACCTCTGCGTCTTCGATCTCGATGCTGTCATGTCGCTGAGTTGGTGGCCTGCCACTGGCGGGCATGTCGACAGAGGCCGGAGGAGTCGGCTTCTTAGTCTTCTTGGCCCGCTTGATGCGCTCGTCCAGCATGGACAAGTCCTTCTCATTGAGATTACCAATCATCTTATATGTCTTCTCGCCGGACAAGAAGAAGACCTGGACGATGCAGTTGAGGGCTGCGTTACGCACGGAATTATCTCGGTCGGAAATCTGGCGAGCAATTTCGCGGATCGACGCCTGAGGGCAGATATTCATGCCGTAGGTTTCAATTAGGAAGGAAAGCTCATCCAGGCACTCGGTACGCTGGCGGGCATTCTTTGATTTGAGACCTTCCATTACGTAGGCAAAGACCTTGACGAAGGGGAAAACCAGGATAACTTGCCGCAGCACACGACGAACGCCATTGCGAACGGCATCCTTGGGGTCTCCGATCTGCAAATAAAAAAAAAACCGCTTAGTAACACTTAAAATCCTAATGGACCAAGACTTGCCTTCAAAAGCAGATGGGGCACAAAGCAGCTGCCCTCGTTCTCGGCCAGAATGTATTCCTGATCAATAAGCATCTGGAAGACCTGCACTAGATATTCAAGACCCTTAATCAAGACAGAAGGGTTCGTATCATAGAAACGCAGAGTCAGCCACTTGAGTATTAGGTCCAGATTGCACACTAGCGCCTTACTGTTTCCAGAAAGATCTTCGCTCAGTTGCTCGATTACTTTCAAGTGATAGCTGGAGGAAAATTTGAGGATGTTATTTCTGGAATGCAACAGAAATGCAAATATTACTCACCGAAAATCGTCGTGAAACATGTTGGCTATTAGCGCCTTGTTTACATTGGCCGTCATCATCTGGTCACGAAGAAGCTCGGTAAACTCCTCTCGCGGCGTTACGAAGGTCCACTTGAGTACCTTCATTTTCTGTTCGTCCAGCAGTCGCTGGTTCTTGGAGTTGTTAACGGTCAGCAGCGGCGAAGTGTCGACATCCTCGTCCTTCTTGCGCGTCGGTGCCGGCAACTTGTCCTGACCACCGGCTGCCCGGGCAGAGGCAGTTTTCTGGACGCCAGCTGCTCCGCCGGCACCACCGCCTCGTACTGTCTTTGCCTTAGGCTCCTCTGGTATTGGAGCCTGCTGTTTGCCCTTGGGAAGCGGTTTTACCGGGAGATTGGGGCGTGCCTTCTCCAAAGCTGCAAATATGTCCTTCTTGGAAGCAGGTTTTTGCTTGTCCAGGGCACGGTTCATGGCTTCAAATCCAAGATGGATCATTATGCCAAGCACGGCCTCGTTGGCGTTCTTCCGCACATCCGCATTACGATCACAGATGTGAGCGTACAGGTGCGGCACCATTGAATGGAGATCCTCCTTGGAAATCGACTTAGGGGGAAGACCTGGCAGCTTATCCGCCAGCCAGGCCCAAAGCTCGGTCTTTAGGGCCGGAGATCCGCCCTTGAGGGCATCGGCTATCATTTCGCTTTCGAAAAACTCCTTGTAGCCGCCCTTCTCACCGAAACTGTTGATGCAGTTAAGTGCGGCGGCCCGCACGAAACTCTTGTTATCCCCCAAAGCGTGTAGGAATCCAGGGAACAGGGTGCGCACATGATTTCGACAACCAGCGCCCATTGCTGTGGCGAGCTGTTCGCAGATGGCCAAGGTCGTCTGGGCAATCTTTGCATTGGAATCGACCAGGCGGTGCGCCAGAGCTGGAGCCAAATCGCCAATGCTAGGTTTGATGAGCCGGGCCTCCGATATGATAACCTGCAGCTTAGTCAATCCCTCGTTGCGAGTCTTCCAGTCCTTGTCCGACATCTCCTTCAACAGGGCCTCCGTAATCTGTGACGAAATGTCGACGCGTGGCAAGAGATCAGCCATGTTAATGGGCTCCTCTTCTGCAGCAGCTCCATCGTCGTCCTCATTGTCCGCGGAACTGCTGGCTGCTCCGCCCGAGTTTCGCAGGACTCCCCTTACAGGCTTTGGCGGTTTCTCGCCGACGTTCTTGTCAAACTCCACCTGGATCTGCGATTTCAGAGCGGGCTTCTCACTGTCGAAGAACATCATGAGCGCATTGCCCATGTACATGGACATGGTACCCACAAGCTGAATGGCAGCGGCACGAACCGTTGGATTTGTGCTCTGCACGCCTTTGCGCACGTCTTCGATTAAAGTCTTCGGCTGCAGTTGGAAACCGAACTCTGTGATGGATTTGCCCACCCAATTGAAGGACTCTGACTGAACTTTGGGCGACTTTTGCTCGAAGGCAAAGTTGAGCACTTTGCCCACGACATACTCTAGTTTCGTGGCTTCAGCAAATGCGGAAAGAACATCCGCAGCTGCGGATCCATTCTTGGCATCAGCCAGCTTCTCAGTAATCTCATTGATCACTAAGTCTACGGTTGTCGTGGTCAGCGGATAATTTTCGGCCACACTGCGGATAATGTCCAGTTTGAACTTGAGTACTTGGAAGTTCATTTCCTTGAGGCCGGGCTTGCGCCCGCTGATTGTGCGGATCAGGATTTGTGAAATGCCCGCCTGTTTTGCATCGAAGCCGGTAATTTCGCCCAGGAGCTGCTCCACAGCGGCAAGACGATTTTTCCAGTTGGAGTCTACTAATCCGTTAAGTATTTCGGCTGGCAATATCTCCTCAGCCTTCTCCTGCAAGTCCTCGGGTGTTAATTCGCGTTCCGTGGCAAGAGCTTTGCCACTCGCTTTGGAGGCTGCAGCTGGGGCAGTTGCAGCTCCTCCCGCAGCACCAGCAGTGGGTTTTTTGAGGACCTTGCGTGCTCCTGTGGTCGCAGGTCGGGTCACAGGCTTAGGCTCCACACTGCCAGCCGTTTTAGCAGGAGCAGCGGCTTTTGCAGCCGGAGCTGATGCTGGTCGCGCCTCCTTCTTTGGACCAGCCACCTTTATTTTGATCTCCGCCTTGTCGTGACACTCTTTGATCTTGGCCATCTTGAGTGGATCAACGTCGGCAAGCAGCGGAGACACCGCCTTTTCTCCCATCAGCTTCATTAGGGTGCCCAAAGCTTCGGCGCTGCTGTCACGAACTGTGGGATCTGGTTCATTGAGCGTCTTCACCAGGCTGGTGGTCAAAAGCTTAAGCAACTTCTTGTTAATCGCAGTCGGTTGTGTTCGGGTCAGGGCACGGGCCAAAAACAGTGCCGTTTCGGATTTAACACTAGGATTTTTGTTGGCTAGTGACTCCACGACGGATTCTTGCTGGGACTCCAGTGAGGTGGAGGAGTAAACGGCATCGATGGCCTCGCGTAGAGCTGTCACAACATTGGGTTTCTTCTCCTTGAATTTCTCCAACAAGGACGGGACACAAGCCTGGTTTAGAAGAAGTTAAATAAAGTTTTGCTTGTACAAAATTAATAAATATTTACCGATGCGTAGTTGGAGAACCGCTTTGCTAGTCCTTTGGCCAACATGGCTAGGCATTTGCCGGCCATGGCCACAAGTACTACGTTGGAGTCCTTGGTTATAACCTTCTTCAGGGCGCTGACCAGTGTTCCATATTCGCCGTTCTCCAGCTTCGGATGGTCGGTTAGAAGCTTTTCCAGAGCCTCTAGAGATTCCTTTCGGAGTGTCCACTTTTTCTCCTCCAGCTTGTCGTAAAAGTCCTTGGGCATCTTTGAAAGTATGTCTACGGGATCAATGAGATCCATTGGGTCGATCTCCTCTACTCCAGCCTCGCCATCCTCTTCTGTGTAGTAATAAATTTAAAATGTTATTAAAATATTGAGTACGGAAGATTTTGGATCACTTACCATTATAGGCATCTTCGATAGCTGCTGCATCCGCAATCTTAGCCTGCTTCTCTTGCTGAGATTTGAGATATCTAGACAATAACGTGGTTTAGTGAGGAAATCACTTCGGGAAAAATGCTTAAACCCACCTGGAGGGCTCCACACGTTCGCCCTTGAGCTTGTCGAACTCATCCTCCAGCTCCTTAAGTGTCACCTGTGGTAATGTTGAGATCTGTGCCTTCATGGCAGCTCCGATCCAGCGGTAGATCTCCACGGCCAACTGCTTGCCCTCATCTCGAACTGCTTTATCTCGGTCTGACATTAGAGGGGCGAGCTTCTTAATCAGTGGCTTGACGCCAATCACCTTGTGTCCGAATTCGCGGAGGGCCAAAGTGGTGGCTGCCACACAGGCGGACACAATCTTGGGGTTCTTGGCCTCCATGCCCTTGACCAGCTCCTCGACGACGGCATCCTGCTTCTCGATCTCGACGTACATAAGTGCCACCTGTACGGAGAGCTCCTTGGTCTTTGTTTTGGGCGCGGCAATGCACTTCTGAACGATGCCGGTCATCACATCGCCAACGGTTCGTCCAGCGAGGCCGCTGTTCTCCACAAAGATGAGAGCAGCTTCCAGACCCTTTTCCTGCGCTAAAGCATTTGAGTCCACAACCATCTTTTTGATGAGACCAGCGAACTTGGACCACTCCGGCGACTTCTCGTCGTCTAGTTCGCGGAAGATCTTGGCTGCCTCCTCGTAGCCATCGACACGGGCCTTCCATAGCTTGTGGACACACCGTTCCTCCACCGGCAGCTTCTTGTACTCGGTATCTTCGGCCATGCTGGTGTGGTGCTCCAAACGCTACTCGATTCGATCTGAGTAGCGGATTGCTCTTAGTGTCGTTTTGTGGCGCAATCAGTGGTCTCAACCAACATTCTAAGAAATAAACAGATTTTATTGAATACTGGAATTTTTTTTCTAAAAGTCAACCAAATCCCAGTGAAGCAGAACTATTTTGGCTGTCAGGAGCCATCAAGCTAATGTTTCAAAATTGAGCTTAATCGTCAATGAAATGTCGGAGGCCAAGGAATCATCCATCCGTTTCGCTTGAGAGGCGACAAAAAGTAAATGGGTCGGCCATATTTAGATTGCCGACGTCTAAGTGCAGTTATTTGGCAAATAGAAATAGAATTAGGAGCGTGCAAATTTTGTTTTTTTTTTTTTTTTGAGCGAAAAAGGTTGGTGGGCTTGTCCCCAGGATGGGTGATATCATATCGCAGAATAGCGCGCTTTATTCATACAAGAAATCAGGGGCAAAGCAGCCCCCTCCCCAAACAACAAAGGGTGACACACACGCACACGCAAGTTTGTTTCTGATTCAGCCGCAGATACCCGACGTAACATCCAACAAAAAATCATTAAATGAATTTAATTATTCAAACCCCTTAAACATTTCTTCTTCAAATACGCCTCTTAAATCAATATAACTGTGTTTCAGTTCCAGTAGTGAATGCCATTAGTCGGATATGCCCGCGCTTTGTTTCGCTCTCAATCACGCTTTCTTAAGCGCTCTTCCAAGCTCTCACGCACACCGACGCTCTCTAGTTCGAATTAACGGATCGCGAGCAACAACAAATGTTTCTCCTGCGGGTCTATGCGTCTGGAAAATGCCGTCGTTTACCGTTCCACCCTGCCGCTAATTGTTGCTATGTCTGTTAATTTCCAGTGGCTGCAACTTGAGAGCTGCAGATGCACCAGATTTCGTCCATTTTAGCGACAAACAAAAAGCGACGCCCTGGAACGAAATCGCGATGCACTCAAGTGCATTCCGGCACACACAAACACACACGCTCACCATCCGAATGAGGATCCAAGTGCCGATGTACAGCGGGTGGGAGTGGCGGGGCTGTGGGGCGGACAGCTGGCCAGTTTCAGTGGTTCTAAAGGGCTGCGTAATGCAATAACTTCGATTTTTCTCAGGCGTCACACCAACAAGCACACACGGCACAACACTGAGGCACGCACACTTATTCGTCTTGACACAGCGACGAGCTTTTTCTTTGGGCCTCCAATCTGTGCAATAACATTAAACAACAATTTAACTACGTTCTAAGCACTTCGACGCACTTTTATGCAGCGGAATTTACTTCAGTCTCGCGCAAGGTAAATAAATAATAATTTTGCAGTTCTTCAGCGTCGTCAGTGTGACCGCCAGATAAAATACTATAATGCTATAAAAATATCGGGCTGACAAACGATATTATCGATGTTTTAAAATCGATAAGTCGAGTGCGAACTCGTGAACTAGCGAGTGCAACTACAGTTAGTCGCGATAGACTCCATGGACGATCGATTTTGATGAGAGGGAACTTTAAATTTTTGATTTTTTTAGTCAATTTTTAAAAAGGCAAGTGTACCAAAAGTCTAACTTAAGTTAAAGAAAATATATTAAAACACGATCTGAACTATTGTTATAAGGCATTTATTGTGGCGCCGCTTTCAATGCGCGTAATCTCAAGCAGGTGAATAGTGTGTCCGCCCATAAACTCCAGCAAATCCACACCCGACTCCTTGCCAATGTCGTCCATGCTAATGGGCAACGCCTGCAGCTTCCACTTCTTGAGCAGCGCTTCAATAGACCAATCTGCGCTCCGTTCTTGGTATGTGAATATGAACTTTGCCCCCGCATTCCGCTCCAGCAGGAAAGCCACAGTGACCACGATGTCCTCGAATACACTGGGATCGTAGAAGCAGTCGGCGGCAATGATGAGGTCTAGCGGTGGCAGCCGAAACACGCTGTTTAGCAGGAGGCCCCAACTGAGGCCCACCACATCAATGTCGACACCCGGTTGCAGTTGGTTAGCCAAGCAGGACTTGCGGATGTGGGCCAGTGACTTGGGCAGGATACAGTTGTCAGTTAGAACGACCTGGGCTCGGCACTTGGCGGCAAGGATGCCGGGCAAGGCTGTGCCGCTTCCCAACTCAAGGATGCGCTTTCCGGCCAGCGTCTGTCGGCGCTCCCACAAAAAGTGCGCAAGAACCGGTGCACAGGGCCACGTGTAGAAGGAGTAGGCTCCCTGGAGCAGCTATTTTAAAAAAATGTTAGATATTATTGGTTCCGGGAACACCTGACTTTCTGTCTCACCTCAGGGATCTTGATCTCCAAACGCTCAGCGGGAGATCCGCTGAAGACGAACTTTCGGATATGCTCGGCGGTGGCTGTGGCTGCCACAATGTCGTTGTCCTCGCTGCCGCTCTTCATGTGGAAACGCATTTTAGCTCGCGCATGCAGTAGAGATACTTTTTTTTTTACTAAACTTTTGTTATTTTACAGAGTTTTGTTTACAACCTGTTTGATTAGCGATGATGCACCAAAAACGATAAGGCAATCGAAAATGCTAGAGGTGAGCTGACAAAACAGTGACTAAGTATTAAAAGTGGTGTGCAGCCGCAGATAAAAATAGGGATTAAATGTTGAAACACTCAATAATATTCGATTAAAAAGGGAAAATCTACATTTGTAATTATTATGATTTCATCTATTGGGGTATTTTCACCGATATTTAATAAAATCAAAGCTTAAGCTAAGCGCGCCCACTTCTTAAATATTCATGACCCGCAGAAGCTGCTGAACGCTGGGTCAAGTGTGCGTGAGCGAACTATCTCCCATCTCTAAGGATCGTTTTAAAGTTTTGATTTTGACTGCTATGTAGGGATTGTGAAGAAGGCTGCGTACACTTCGAGGCAAGAGAAAAGGCAAAACAATGCGCTCCGTAGGAAACTGGGAACAGTGCGGAAAACTGGGCCAGGGCGGATTTGGCGAAGTGCTCTATTGGCGGAACCGGTCGACTGGCCGGGAAATCGGTGAGCTATAAACAACTTTTCGGAGACCCCACACGAACGTACATATATGGGAATGCTTTTCCCTGTGTTCGGGTGTTCGTGTGCAATTCGCAGAAATCGGGCTGATGCAAGCATATCCCGTGCTGCACTGATAATAAAGGGCCACCCGCTCGAATTTCTACTCGTGTGCGGTCCGCAAATGCGATAGGGCCTAGCCTTAACAGGCGTATGTACGTACATCTTATAGCTTTTCGGCTGACTCAGCCAAAACCCAGGCTCTGCGTCTTAGAAATAATCCCTGCTTTTGTTTGTTTATCTTTCATTCAGCCACCAAACACATAAACGACATAAAATCCTTGAGTGCCGATCAGCAGATTAAACTAAGCGAGCGCTGGAATAAAGAGTACCAATGGGCTCGCCAGTTTCAGGATACTACGCACATTGTGCGCGGCGTGATCCTGGACGACGAGGATCCGGACTTTTTGGAACACCTAAATGCTAAGCACATTGCCAAACTGCCCGTGATTGTGCTGGAGTATTGCAACGGCGGAGATGTGCGGAAACGGCTGCAGAGTCCGGAGAATGCGAATGGATTGGTGGAATTCGAGGTGCGGCAGATCCTGGGAGCTCTGCGGCACGCCCTGTACTTCCTTCACTCCAAGTGTGGAATTTGTCATCGCGATTTAAAGCCTGATAACATAGTAATTCATCGAGGAGAAGATGGCAAGAAAATCTATAAGCTAACTGATTTTGGACTAGCACGGGGAGCACCCGACAAGACGATGCTACAGAGCGTGGTGGGCACCAGACATTACTTTGCCCCCGAGGTGGTGCAGAGCGGATGTTACAACACAGCTGTAGACTACTGGTCGCTGGGCATCATTGCCTACGAACTGGCAACCGGCGAGCTTCCCTTTATACCACACCAGACGCCAAAGAACATATTGTTAAACTTGATAAAGAAGCCCGCCAATTGCATTGCTATCACAGAGGATCCGGAGGATAGCAGTCGGTTCGTGAATCAGTTCGAGCTGCCCAAGGAACACCATTTGTCGCAGCCTTGGGCCGAGGAGTTTACCAAATGGCTGCGCCGCCCACTGAACACAGACTACAAGCAGCGCGGTCAACTGGCATCTGATGAAGTACAATCAGTTCCAGTCGTCTTTGCTGAGCTCGACAAGCTGCTTCAAATGAAGGTGCTTACCATTTTTGCTGTCAACTGCAGCAAGCGTCTGGAATATGCGGTTACTGCTGATATGAGCATGGCGAATCTCGTTAGGTTGATTGTAAAGGACACCGGGATAAACGAAGAGGATTTGTTCCCATTGCTGCCCACTTTTCATCCACACAAGCATATCACGCGCCAAACTAAGCCGTTGGATCTTTATGTGGAGGAGTGGAGTGACACCAGCAAAGAGTCTTCCAAGGGAGCAAAGCGTGGCAATCCGCCCGTTATGTTGTACGTGTTTCAGCTTAAAAAGGACTGTGACTATAGTGAGCCCGATCCCAGTTTGTCAGTACTGTCTCGAATGTTCATGAACAATAAGCTTAAGTCAAAGGAAAGGTGGCTGCTTAAACGTGTGGCGCTGGACATGCTCTACGTTCTTAACAAGGAGAAGGCAATCTATCAAATGTTCCTGTCCGGTGTTAACGAGCACATACTTTCGCTGGAGGACGAAATTATCGCTATCCCGTTTATCACCATCATTCATGAGAAGTTGCTAACTGCATGCCACAGCTACGAGCAGCTGAAAAGGCTGCGAGCAGCAGTTCAAATTGAATGTCCTACTTTTAAGGTATATAATATACATACTTTTTAGTTCATTTTTTAGTAAATTGATTTTTTTTCAGCTAAACGACGAGACAGAATGGGAGAAGCTCACGCAGAACTACGAAGCCATTATTGAAAACGCCAAATCAATTAAATCCCATTTTGAAGCCTGCTTGCGCAATGCCAAGGAATTAGTTAAAAGCACCACTCACCTCCTGAGCGATCTTAGCGAGAAAGATATATTCAATGCGTAAGAGGACAATAACAGCAGTCAAGCGGTATATGTAACAAATCTAATGCGTTTCTTCCTTAGCACTTTATTCCACAAGCAATACCTGCGCAACGGTGAGGTAATTCTGCCATCTGAGTTAATGCAAGCTGGACATCAGTTCGTCAAAGCTCGTTTTCAATTGATTAAAAAGGGCGAGGTTAAATCCCTATCAAAGGCCATTGATACCCTACATATCTACTTTGCTAAGAACAAGAATGCCTTCCCCGACCTTATGAACAAATTTGCTTACATCGAAAAGGAGATATTTCAGCTGCATTTAAAGATGTTGACGTTCAAGTGCGCAGCTCCACCTCCGATGGTTCAGCTTAACGAAGCAATGGACCATATGACTTTGAGCTGTGGTTCGCCAAGCTCGGACTTATTTGACTCTCTAGGCACGTTTAGTGTTATCGACGAGGCGGAAAGGATACACAGCATGTAAGTGCTTTTTAAAATCAGAGATGGTTTTATACTTATGAGCGGTTTTTTCTTTTGTCAGGCTGATTCGCGAAATGGAAATCGATTCAAACTAATGAATCATATAAGACTCGTATAAGTATGATCATCCGACAACACTTGTGCCCTTTCGAAATATTGATTTTGTTTCGATTTTATTTTGTACTGCAGACCGAATTGGTAATTTATGTAGCTTTATTGGTTTCAAAGAAACTTGATTGCATGTTTCTCATCTGAAAATGTTTTTTATTTTTTATAGTGATATTGAATTAAACTTGTTTATGTTTTTTCACGTTGATATTAAAGAAAAACCATTTTTAAAATAATCGTTTTTTTTTTGTGACCGTTGGTAAGTAGTTTTTCAACAAGCATCAACGCTTGCATTTGCTTTACTGAATTAAATTCAAAACTGTTTGGGCTAATTTAACGCCTGTTTGTTCAGATGGCGACAAAGCTTTTTGTTGTTTAAGTTTGAGCTATATTGTTTTATATTATATACAAATAATTCGTAGTGTTGATTCAAACCGAGCTTTGTTTCTATAAATTGATTGATTTTATGAATAGATTACTGATTCACGTTTTCGTTGTTTTTAGTGATATTTTTAGTTGTAGTTTAAACTATATTGTTTTATATTATTTCTTGAGCTTTCTATTGTCTAAAGGCTTTGGAAAGACAAAACCAAATCTGTATGGTATATAAGAATTATATAACAGGCGGCTTAATTTACGAATGAACAGCTGTGAGAAGCTTGTCTTGGTCAATTGAAATGAAACTGCTGAGGATTGCAATGTCACGAGAAATTGCACATGCGGCAGAACCGAGAACTCGTCGGCTTTTGGCCATGCCAGACTTTACTATAAAAGCGATTCTAGCTGCTGGCCAGAAACCAAAAGCTGTAAGCCGTTGAGCACTATCGGTGCTCTAGAAGAAAAGGATCGCACAGAAAACCGGAATGGATCGCAACTGGTTAATGGGATTAGTTCTAATCCTGGGAGTAATAATCCAGATTGAATGGACAGCAGCCAATCCTACGTCGGAGAAGCCGAATCAACTCCGTGAGTACAGATGAAAATGAGTATCTAAGAATATAATTAGTGTCCCAATCCATGTTTACCTAAAGTGTTTTGAAAGCTAACTTAAAGGTGATTTTTTAGGCAGTTTAATCAAACAGAGAATTAATTTATAAAACCCTTTACGCAATTATTAATTGTCTTGATGTTTTTGCAGCATCTTTCCTGAAGGTGTGCTACCGCGATTCCCCTGACTTGAACACATGTGCCCGCGAATCCTATGAAGCCCTGCGACCACGTCTCATGGAGGGCATTCCCGAACTCTACATTCCGTCCATGGAGCCACTGATCGTCCCTCAGGTGAAGATGGACCAAGACTCCGGCGCCATCTTCTTGCACTCCGTATACCGGAACGTCAAAGTCACGGGCATTTCGAAGCACACGGTTAACGAGCTGCGATTGGAGCCCTCAAAGTTGAAGTTCATTGTGTCGCTGACCTTCCCCAAACTGCACATGGAATCAGACTACAGCATTAAGGTCAGTAGAGAAGTACGAAGTCTTTTCGAAAGCACACTCCAAACAAACTGAACTACATTCTTATTGTTCTTTTCAGGGAAAAATCATGATGATGCCGCTTCTTGGCGATGGTCACTGCAAGGTGGATCTGGGTAGGTTTGATGACTAATTTCTCTTTTGAATTATGTATTTACTGATTGCAACGTTACTCTTTTACAGTAAACATCACCATGCGCACGGAGCTCATTGGACAGGAGTACAAAAAGAATGGAGCCAACTATCTGAAGATCAACACTGTGAAGGTCAAGTATGAGCTATCCGATGTGCACATCCACCTGGACAATCTGTTCAATGGAGACAAGGCCCTGGGCGATCGGATGAACGAGTTCCTCAACGAGAACTGGAAGGCTCTGGCCGAGGAAGTGCGTCCCTTGATGACCAAGGCCCTGGTGGACATTTTGAGGGCCTCCGTGGACAAACTGTTTGCCTCCTTCAGCTACGATGATCTGGTGCCCAAGGGAAAGAACTAAGAGGAGTCACTGATGGTCAGCATATTTTTTATCTTATTGATTTAGTCGTAGTACAAACATTAGCCTACAAATAAGCACACACTTAGAAGTGAAATAAATTATGAATATAATACACAAGCGGCTGATGAGGTCCACCATGAGGACCACTAGACCAGCCAAAGTTTGGTGGGCATCTTGGAGAAGACGTTGTTCCACAGCCCGTGAAAGATGTCGGCCAACCCGAGCTCCAAATCGGGACGCAGTTCGGCAATGACCTCCTTGCCGTTCTGATTGAGGAACGAGTTGATCGAGGCCGCCAGGATTTCGTTTCCGTTGAACAGATTCTTCAGGTGAATGCGCATGGCGCCCACGTCGAAGCCCACCTTCATTTCATCGATGTGGATGATCTCATCGCCCGTGCGGGTCTCGTTCCTCATGGAGATTCTGGTGTACACCGTAGTGTGCACATTCTTCAAGGCCATTGCCACGTCTCCGCTGCCGACGAGTGGCAGCAACAGGATGTTTCCCTTCAGGTTGTATTTGGCCCGGATCTTCAGACGTGGAATCTCCAGCTCGAAGTTTAGTTGGCGCCGCTCGAGGTCCAAGCTGGAAAAGATAATAATTTTGCAAAAAAAAAATAATAAATATCTAAAGTGGATTTAAGTTTATAGCAAAATTTAGTACCTGGCTCGCCGCACAGTTGCATTGGATGGTCCGCGGATGACCAGATTCTGGAACCCTCCGGACAGCACCAGGTTGCCACTGCCCTTCGACACGGACACTTGGTCGATGTTCAGTGGCTCGAAGCTCTTTACCCCGATCTCGGGAATCCCTGCCGCGAGTGCCGGAAAGCAGCCCTCGAAGAGTTCACGGAAGCACTTGTCCTCATTTGGATTGGATCGCTTGCAAGTCTGCAGCCATGGAGCTGCAACATAAACGAGCAAGGATTAACTAACAAGGAATTATTTAAATATGAATAGTATTATTTTCTTTAATACTTTTTTAATATTTTTCCTGTTGTTTCTTAATTGAATACATGACTAATTATAAGATCCTGATCAGTTAACGGCACTTACGTCTTTCCTGTAACGGAAGCTTGTCGTTAACAATTTCGCGCGTATACGCCCCGTAGCCTTGTGTAACACAAAACGAAAAGATAACGCCCAAACTTATCGCCAACTTCCAGTGGGTTGTGTCGAACATGTTTAAAGGAAAACGAGACGAAAAAGAGACAAGTGTCCTTCGCGGCTTAAAACTTTTGATCCGTTGCGCGCGACCGTTAGCGACGATGGCTCGAAACCAAGTGCCGGGATGGCCAAGTGAAAAGTCGGACGAAACCATCGAAGGCCATGACGATGTTGGCTCTTTCGTTCGCTGCCTTTACAGCCAGTTTTACATACTCTTTTTGCCCGCGCACTGGCGTTACGAATTCCGCAATTTCGGAACTGGCGCCGCTTAAATTCCCGTTTACACCCGCTCGTCCAATTGCCAATTGGCCACGGGAAAAATGTGGATAAAAGAGTTTAAAGTGCACTACTCTTTAGGTATTTCAAGCTATAGGATAAGCATTCATTAAAACATCCATTAAAAAGAAAGCACTTTAAAAGTTGAAACACCAAATTCAAAGGTAAAACTATTTCAAATGTAGTTATACTCAAATAAATTTAATCATTTATAACACATTTGTATTTATTTTTTTTCAAATAATGAAACCTCATAAATTTTAATAGCTATAAAAACCGCATAAATGAATGAAAGTTATTTTATGAGAGTTCATCAACAATGTGTGAGCAATTTAATTTAAATAAAGACATTCAACCCGTTTTACCTCCATTATCCATAATTGCCACCAACTTTCCCAAAAGAAGTGCATGGAGCTTCGCCACTTGACCGAATATTTGTAATGTTTTATTTGCTGTATCGATATTTGGACGCTGATGTTGCCTTAAATTTTACTTTCGTTCGGCGTGTAAAAGCCACCGATTCCCAGGTTGTTTATGTTTATAGGCATTGCGCCACACACACGCAAACAAGTGGCCAGAAAGAGGCAGCCGACTCGTCCCCCTGGCCTGCTTCCACTTCCACCGAAGTTCCCATCCAAAGTTGTTCACCTGTTGACTACTTCTGGTATTACGCAGATCGATCGCCGTTTCGGCTTGGAGTTGTCTGGTGTCTGGGCCCCCTCATTGTCACGGGTCTTGTCCGGTTTGCTGGCTGTTCGTGCTCCAATGCCTCCGGCTACGGAGGCTGCGAAAGACCCCCCATTTTCCCCTCTTTGAGAGTTGGTCGCGTGCACTCCGGTTGCAAGTCTCTGTTACGCAGTCTCCTCAATTAACATTGGGAATAGAGGTGGTCGAGTGACCTGTAGTTCAAAGACTCTAAAGGTGTTTAAAGTATTACATTTAGCCGGATATTAAAACTTAAAAACTCCAAAGGTAATTGGAAAATTTAATTTCTGGAAATGAACTGGATTAAAAATATAATTAGAATTATTGAACTACTATTTCATCACAGCTAAAACGTTTTAAAAAATCTAGTATGCTTTAAATGCTTTGAAGAAGTTTAAATTACAGTTTACATTTTCTTAAAAATCATTTCTAAAAATTATTTCAAAAAGCTTTAACCTTTTTCACGTTATCATCTCTATCTCACATTTGTCATTTGTCAGCCAACTAATTATCGCAGTTTACGAAAACATAAATATGGAAATTAGGGCTACTACGATTATGTGACTAATAATCTTTCTCCCTCAGAGGTCGGCTGATTTCAATGTTGCATGTTGCGACAATAACCACCAAAATACCACCATAACACTACTCATCCCATGATCATCTCTTCTTTTTTTTTGGCCAAAATGTCGCGTGCGGAAATGGCCAAAATTAAGGGGCCTTGCAAGAGTTGGCCAGCGTTTGGGGATTGCGATATCTTTAATTGTAGCTTCCTCGCCGACCGCCCCATAAAAAAAAAACATATATAAAATCCAGTGGAGATTGAACAGCTGTCGAACCTGCAAAAGTTGTCCCACTCGGAAAGCCTGGAATTGCGCAACGTATGGCTCGAATTATGAACAAGCATTTTATTTTCTTTAAACGACAAACAAACGAGTTTAATGTTCGCTATTGATTTGGTTTCTTTCTTTTCGTTTCGGTTCATGTTTCATTGGCGTTTGTTTTCACACTTGCTGTTGCATTCCTCGATGCCAGGTTTTTGTTTAATACTTGGCCAGGTTGTCGGATGTCCACGCCGCTGCCACAAGTGATGCAATCGCCCGTCTCCAGCGCTTTTTGCTACATTTTTTTTGCAATGTCATAAAAGCAAAGAAAACAAAGCAAATAATTGAAGGGGCTTTCCCACAACTCTCCGCCAATGTTGACCCAACCGCAATCCGCAGCTGGTCACGTGCAATTTGAGCCAAGAGTTCAATAGCTTCGATTGGGCTTTTTAAATTGGTACCTCGGTATGCAGATCACGCCCCTAATTTTATCGTTTTTCACTCGGTTTTAGCTTGTATTTTGATTGCAGGCGCCGTTGTGGCATTGACCGATTAACCTGTCAATAAACCGTTTTGAAAAGGGCTTGCATTTTGGCGGAGGTTATGCCAAAAAAAATATTATTTTATTGAATTGTTAAATGAGATTATTTTCAATAAAAACTTTCAAAATGACGATATTGCATTGCAGTCACCACAAATGTCGAGCAAAATGCATAAAGACTTAACAACATTAAAGTAATGACGATTATTTATTTTTCTATATTTTAAATATAGAATCGATATAGTCGATTTTTATACAAATTAATTAAACTTTTTATGTATATAAAATCAACGAAACAAAATTACTTTGAGAGGCATGCCACTTTAAAATGTGAAGTAAGAAAAGTTATGGACTTAGAATTAGTGAACTTTGGTCCATTTTAAGCAAAACCATGTTTTGGAAATTCGGAAAGGGATGCATCATTAATTGAACAAAAGCGCAAAAAAAAAAATACAAAATTAACTTATGATATCTAATGTATTCGTTAACCTTATTTTATAATTGTGGGGATGGCGAAGAACAGACAGAAGGCCTGCTGCAAACTGGTCTCCCAACTCATTGAGGAAATGCACATGGCATCAGCATAGGCAGCTAACGAGGAATCAGCGATGGATTTTAAATTTAAAAATAGTTAATTGACTAGACTCGCATTTAAGACTCACAAGACATGGATTGTCTTAAAATGTGTAGTATAAGCCTTAGGAATATTTAAACTAAATTATGTAAAAATTTTGTAAAATAAACTAAAACTACCGAATTTGTAATATACTTGTGGGGGCTCATACAAATGTGCTGTTGCTCTCTCTCTCTCTCTCTCCCTCTATATAGTCGCCCGATCCGGAACGTTCCTACTTACATATATAGTGCGAACAATAACTACATAACTTTTGGTAAAGTTTCAGCAAGATAGCTTTACAACTGAGAGACTAGTTAACATAGAAACAGGCAGGCGGAGGTCTCTCCGTGGCCATGCTGAAACTTTACAAAAAGTTGTACACGTTTAGTTAGAATCAGATCGTGATGCTGATCAAGAATATATATTATTTGTGGGGTCTGAGGTGTCTCCGTCACTGCGTTGCAAACTTCTGACTGCAATTATAATAACCTCTGCAAATGTACAATGAAATTTAAGGTAAGTAATTTCAGCAAAAAAGTAGGCAAAATATTTGACATCAGTTCAATACCTGACTAAAAGCTGATGTACATAAAACCATTTTATGTATGTATATATTATTATGAGCCGAAAGCCTGAACATTTTTAAAAGATCTTTAAAATAAAAATATCATTTTTTTATTTTAAATTTTTTATAAATAGGCTCCAAAGATAAAAATTCATTATTTTATATTTATTTTAATACAATCTTTATTTAGCGTGGATATTTAAAGGAGGAAATTATAATAATATTACGTCTCTAAGTACTATTACTAAATGTTCTATGAAGTGGGTGGGCGGGGAAGTGCGGAATACACAGAGAATATTTAAGCTAGTTGAACAAGAGTTATGATAAAGAACTATATGGAACTACATTATAAACGAAGCGATAAACAATATCTGTACACACACATACATATAACTCCATGGATAAGCACACACACATAAACGTATATTTGTACAACGAGAATTGCTATTAGTTATTTACACGAATTATAAACTAGATGCCAGTTAGGCACATTTAAAACTAATAACAACCCATTTGCATTTTCCATTTCTATTAGGTTTTGACCAAATCATAATAGAATTAATATCTTTCCGGAGAAGTTAGTTTTATATATATTATGATTTTGTTAAACCTTAAGATACAGAAATCGCAAACAGTGCTGAATGGGACTAATGTCTAAAGTCTTTTCAATGCAATGATTCCAGCGTGGGCTTCAAGTTAGGGTGCAGTTTCTGAGGAGGAGGGAGATCACATCACGGAGGAGGCGTCCAACTATGGTATCTTACGACCTTACGAGGTGGCCATCAGCTTGGCCGCCTGGATGACGTTGTGCTGGTGATGATAGCCGGCCAACTCGCTGGCCGCTCCGCCCGCCATCGCCGCCGAGGATGCAGCTCCTCCCAGCGGACCAAAGGTGCCGCCAAAGTAGCAGTTGTTCACATAGTCGTAGTTCGTGGCACTCGCCTCCGTTTTCACTCCATAAGCAGCGGCAGCAGCTGCGGCGTGCAGATGATGATGGGCCGCCGCGGTCACATGGTGACCATGGGATCCGCCCAGGTGATGGTGGTGCTGGTAGTGGGGCGATGGGGTGCCATTGCTCAGCGTCGGCGTTTCGGCACTGTGCGACGTGTAGGCGGACGCACTGCCTCCCCCGGAACTGCTCCCTGTGGTGTAGAGCTGCGATCCCGTCGCTCCGTGCAGCTGACGAGCACTCAGCTGGGATTGACTGGAGCTGGGGGTCATCCCGTGGCCATGTTGCTGGTGCTGCTGCTGCGTCGTCGCCTGTCCGTAGTGGGGAAAGCACTGCTGGTGTTGCTGCTGCTGCTGCTGTTGTTGCTGCTGCTGTTGCTGTTGTTGCTGCTGCTGCTGCTGCGCATTGTGATGCGCCATCAGGGAGCTGCTACTGCTGGCCGTGCTCTTGAGGTCGGAGTGCAGCTTGTTGAGGCTGTGCCGCTCCAGACTCAGAGAAGGCTTGAGATCTGTTGGGGGAAAGAACAAAAGTATGGAATTAGTTTCGTTTACAATCTCAGGGAAAAGAACATCACAGTTATCTAAGAAAAATCACATGGGTAAAATTATATCTTTTAGATTTGTATATAAGTTCAATTTCTCTCTTGATTTCTACTTTCTAATCTTAATAAAATTTCACATAATATAATAGCTTAAATTGAGATTTTCTGAAAAACCATGATAAACTGAACAAAAGGAACTATAACTTGTTAGATATATTTCTAAAGTAAACATCTGTCTTCGCAACTCACCGTGCTCTTCCTTGCACTCCTTGATGGCCTCCAAAGTGGAGCTGGATCCCGATCCAGAGCCCGTTCCGCCAGCTGAACCACTGCCAGTCTTCTTGGGCTTTCGCTTCCTTGTCTGGATGCCATCCTTCCGCATGGCCAGTGGCCTGTTGACTCCGTGCAACTTGTAGTACAAACCACAGGCATTGCACACCGGTTCCCCATCATTGTTGCGCCTCCAAAGTGTCGTGGTGCGGGTGCCGCAGTTCGTGCAACACAATCCCAATCTCCTAGTGGCCGTCTAAAAGGGAAACACAATGGTTAAAACCGAATCTAGAGAGGATCTGGAGGGGATTACTCACGGCACTCACCAGGCGCTTGCTGGGTTTGATCAGCGGCCGGTTCATTCCGTTCATCTTGTGGTACAGTCCGCAGGCGTTGCACAGATAGTGGCCAGTGCCATCCCGTCGCCACAAGGGAGTCGATATGGCGCCGCAGTTGACGCACTCTCGTCCCTCGCCAAACTGGAAATCCATGGCACTTTCGTAGGGCGAGGATCGCTGGAATCCCGACGGATCGTAGGCACTGCGCCAGGAGCCCATCATTACGGCGGCATTGGGCGAGTAGAACTGCGCAGGCAGCTGCGCATGCGCAGATCCAAAACTGTCCGTGGTCCAGGCATTCTGTGCAGCTGCACTTCCGAAATGCGCGGCCACGTGGTTGTACTGTCTATTGGAGGGCACATAAACCGGAGCGTTCACCGCCTGCTGGTGATAGCCAGACACCCCGACTCCCACTCCCACTCCGGCACTTGCCGCACTCCCGGCGGCAGCCAGATCCGTGTACGCCGCTACGGCGCTGCTGTGGTACATCTTTACGGCCGCGGCGTGCGAGGCTGACACGGAGGCGGATGTGGATGCGGATGACGATGACGATGCGGATGTGGATGCGGAGGCAACCGGAAACGTCACGTTCTGAAGGTCACCGCTGAAGTGCGGATAGTCGCGGCTCGACAGCTGATCCGATGTGGACTGCAAAGAAAAGAGAGTAATGATACGTTATTAGTTAAAAGTTAAAAATTAAAAATTATTTAATAAGAAGACTGTTGCAAAAATGGATAAAAAGGTTTATAAAGAAAATGGTCAACATACGTAAAACTACTTTATATAGAATATATAGAAGCTACCTATTCCATAGAAGAACGTCACATTTTGTTTTAGTTCTACAACAATTTATTTAAAATATGGTATTAATATTTAGTAGTGTTGCACATGCATAAAAATAAAACTAAAAGGACAATAAAATAGTAATAGTGCAACTGGGGCTATTAAACGAAATAGGTTTCAAAAATGTATTTAAAGAACTTTAATACTATGGACTTCTCTTAGAGGCCATATACCAATTCTTTCCTTTCAACTCCCCTCTCCCCAACTCCCTTTTCTGTCTCTTTCGTTCAGGGTCTGCCATTGGATGCTCTGGCTCTTGGGAAACTCCCCTTGGCCGGCAGCCATTTTGGTTTTGTTTCTGACTGCAACTCCTGCGACTGCTCTACCCCCTACCCCTTCTCCTCCTCCTCCTCCACCGAATGGGAACCCGTTTTCCCGGACTGCGCCCTTTCGGTTACCATCTCGAATTAATGGCGCTCTCTGCATCTCAAACTGCTCGTGTATCTTGGCATCCGTGAGTTTGTGCATCTGTATCTTTGGCTTCGCAGCACTTATCTGGTGCGTAGGCACTTCGTTTTCGGTGAGGAGGAGTGGGAGGGACTGGCCACAAAGTGTCATTCTCAGGCACTCGGTACTTATTTAAAAAAAATAAACTGGGAATTACGTTAATATGATTCCATAAAGTAGTGATAGGCAAAGTACAGCATTCGAAGGATTTGATGTTTTACTGAATGTAAATGAAGGCAAAAATTTACTAATTACAAATCGTCTACCTAACAACAAAAATTCCAATTCGTTTTAAATCTTTACGATTGTTTTGATATTTCATAAAAAATTTTCATTGTTCATTCAACATTTTTGCACCAAATGAGGGAGAAGGCTTCAAGTGGCTTTAGCTGTTTCACCCACATACACTTTAATTGTATTCAGATTCAGTTTTTTTGTATTTCTATTTCAGAAAAGTTCAACAGCCAAAGCACCAGCAACAACAATAACGAAAACCGACAGCGATCATCGAAATCTGTGCTTCACATCGATTTCAATTAAGGCGCCAATTGCATATTTTTATTTATGCGGATATATTCGAATATTTTTTTAAATTGCCTTTACAGCCAGCCACAACGCATCGAAAAAAAGAAAAAACATTTGACGTCTTTATCTTATCCCACAAATTTAATGCGATGATGTATGAAATTTTTAATTTTCCCCATTCCAGTTCGCCTCGAGGGGGGAGCAAATAAATTTGATTTGTAAACAGATGGCCACTTAAGGGGCGGGGGATTGGGAATGGCAAAGTTTGGGCAATATTCATGAAATTAAAAGATTTTAAATTGCAGTTCAATGTAATCGCACGAAGTCAAGTTGTTGAACAAGAAATCGAGGCAAGGGATCTGGGGATTAAAAAGCCGCCGGCAATTTAAGCAACGCATTGCAATTATTTAAGAGATTAAAACTATGTCTAGTGCAATAAAAAGCGTACGCTATAAATTTATTCTAAAACTTAACAAGATTTTTGGTCGTAAACTGTAGTTAAGAGTTTAATGGTTAAATTATTCTTTACGAGCACTCTAAAGTCAATATATTTGGATCACCTGAAGTGGTATAATTAATAAACCACCATAACAATATATATTGTTTTTATTCCTATCGATTAATTGAACAATTTGTATTGCCGACACATTTTTATTATGTTCTCTGTATCGCACGTGCTTTTTATATTCGTTTTAAGTGCATGTTTTTTGTTTTTACCATTCACATTTGTTTAAATTTCGAATGTTTATATTTTTTTTTTAAATTTGGAAAAAGTCCTCGAAGTAAATTCAAAACGGCGTTAAATTATAAGATATTGATTCGTATTGATTGAGTGCAACATGACGTATGAGCAATAATATTTAAGACCCAACACGCAACTGTCAAAACAAATTAATTGCGAGAGCGAGAAGGGGATACATACGCACATAGGTGAAGATCAGTGCAGCAATTTCGGCTGCAATTCCTCAAATTCCAGCCAGCCATGCGTGCGAAAGGGACGGGCAGAGACGGGGGCAATCAAAGAGTTGACCACGCGTGCATAATGACGTCGCTCCCCCCTCTTAAGATCACTCGATCAAAGAGAGCGCCGAGTGAGAGATGCGATGGCGATGGAGTTAAGCCGGCCTGGAAGTCGCAGGGCGAGATCAAAGCAGGCGGCGACCACACGAAAAATTGTCAACAAGGCAGGCGCAAAAGGCCAAAAGGATGGGCGAACGACTCGAAGGGATCATGACGTATGGAGCAGTCCAATGTGCGAGTGAGGGAGAGGGCGCTTTGGCGCTTATTAAAAAGCGATCAGCAAAAGGGACAAACCGCGAAATCCCTTAAAAGAGGCGAGGAATTCAAATAAACAGCCATAAAAATTAATTTCATTAAAGTGCACTCAAAAAAATTGAAAACCTTTTGAGAATTCCTAACATCTTGTTTACAATTGTTTAAGAATGTAAATATTCTGTTTATAAATTTTGTTTTTATTGTTTAGGAAACCATTTAAGATATTTCAGCTTCTACTTTGTCTTGAAATATTATTTTCAAAGGAGTTTTAAAATATTTTTTAAGTGCATAAAAGAAGAACAACAAATAAGGATACCTATACCAAGTATAACGTTAATAATTTGTCACCGCAGATGAAGGAACAAAAACAAACAGAGAAAACCACTTGAGCGGGAATGGCCGGGTAAAAAGAAAACAGAAGAGCCAGAAGCAGGAGGATCCAAGGAGGATGGGGGCAGAGGATAAGTGGAGACCGAGGATGAGCGGCGCTTTGAGTGTTTATGTCTTGGTTTTTTCCCGCTCTTAAGCTGGCGCTCTGCCGTCAAGTGGAGGATCCTGTTTTCCTCTCTCCACTCCTTTCCACTCTCCTCCACTTCAGCCAACTCCACTTGAATCATTCATTCATTCATTGATCTTCGCTATTCCAGGCTCTCTCCTCGCTTTCTCCTATCCTCTTCCCTCCCCTTCCCCCTTTTCCTTAGCGGCTGCTTGTTTCGGTTTTGGATTTTGTTTTTGCCTAATCGTTGCACCATTTAAGTTTGCCGCCTGTCAAGGCTCATCTTATAAGAGGAAAATAATTTTACTACAAGATTAAGGAGTTATTAAAGTTGATTTGAAACTAATTAATCTGATAAACTATTTACTTGGTTAAAAGATATATACTGACACATGAAACTGATACTGGATATTATGCCTAGTTCTGTTATTGGGACTCAATCTATTTATTTAATATGTTCCATGTTTCTATATTCGTAACGCTATTTATCTGGACAAAATGTATTAAAATAGTATTTATTTTTAAAAGGTGGAGCACAATAAGTTTTGACAAAAAAACGCTCTTACATTTTTTAAAATAAAATGCTTAAAATAATTAATTAAAGCTCTGGACGTAATACCCCAGCCAAAAAGGAAGCTGCAGCACATGTTCGGCGACATAATTACGAGAACTTGAAAAACGTGAGTTGAACTTACATCGCCATCACTCAGCAAGATGCCCATGATTTATGTTTGAAAAATTCGCGATTCGCAGCTCGTTTTAGAATGATTAATGGGCCACGCACGCAGCTCAGTTCAAGTTGAGGTTGAAAGCGATTCGGATTGGGCTTCCGATACGGATATATTGATTCGATTCTGTATAGCTATGGTTATTGAAAATGACGGTGTCGTTGCAAAGTGTAAATAAATTATCGTTTCACAAATGCATTCAGATTAATTGCAACAAGTTCGGAATGTTTTATTGCACTTTTACACGAAGTTTGTTTATTATTTATATGGCATTTTATGGGCCTTGTTGTAAGACATTTGATTAATGTGGCCTATAAAGCAATAAATTTCGTTTTAATCCATTTACGAGCACTTAACCGATTCCGGGGCTTTTGTTTCTGTGTTCTTCTTTTTAATTGTTCTTTTTTTTTTGAGAGCGAGAGCACAACGATCTGAATTCCTTGAGGCGAGCAAACAAACTAAAAAACTCCCCGAAGTAAACAAAACTTAATCCCAAATATCCAGATCCAGTTCCAGGCGTTGGCGTCGGCGTCAACGCAGGCAGCGACTGCGAAGCCGGCAGCATATCGGCAAGAAGTCAACGGCAACAACATAAAAAGTCAATTTCATCAATGGGCAGTCCGTCGTCGCTCCGCTCTCTCCCTCTCATCCGCTTTGGATATGTCAACCAACTTCCATGGGCGGGAGCGAGATGCACTCAGTTGACAGGTAAAAATTTGTAGGTGCATTTCACGATGCCAGCTTCGGCAGAGACGCCGGCAGAGGCGCTGACTCGAAAATTAGTCAATTTCATGTAAGTATTGAAAAATGATGTCCCGCACACTTGAGCCGGTAAATTGAAGCAGGTCCGCACTTGAGACCCGGAACGGTAGGCACTCTACCACTCGGCCCTCTAATCCGCTTTTCTAGACCCCAATCCAGAATCCTATACCCATTTCTATCCCGGATCGTACACAGGAAGAAATTATCATAAAGATCTTTTCCTTGTTTGCTTCCATAGTTTGAAGGAATGTTAAAACTTGTAAAAGTTTCATATTAATAACTAACTAAAATTGTTTTTATTTAAAAAAATCTATAGCTTCTTTTTATATATTATACATTTTTTGGATATTAACTAACAAATTTTATATGTTGGCATAAAAAAACTTAAGTACCTACCTAAGTACCTACCTATTTCCTCAAGTGTATCTCCACTTGAAAATGATATTATTTTTCTTGTGTGTATGAGAATCAAAAACCGAGGCGAGATTGTGGGCACTGAAGGCCCGGCCCATTGTCAGCAGCTCATTAAATTGCCTGGGCGTGTGTCTGTCCCCGGGAAAGGATCACAGGAT